CCGTCCGTAATTTCAGCTCCAGGGGAATCTGACACCCTCTTCTGATCTTTGCAGGCATTCCAGAACACAGGTGCACTTACAAACATACACATAAAATAAAAATAATAAAATAATATTTTAAAAAATATACTAAGCTGGGCACAGTGATGCTCACTTGTAATCCCACATTCAGGATTCTGAGGTAGGAGAATTGCAAGTTCAAAGCCAGCATCGGCTATATAGTGAGGTGCTGTCACAAAACAAAACAAAACAAAACAAAACAAACCCTAAACTACAGGAACCAGTGGGGTAATCAGAGCACACATGCAAACCAGGATGTCACACATGGTGGTCATCCTCAAACGATGCTATATGGCACCTGATGATTGCTGAAGCAGACCTGGAGGCTTCCTGGTCTTGCCTGTGCTTCCACGATGGCTACTTCACTAAGATCACTGCCATGAATGGCAGCAAAGTCAAGGGCATTTTCAGGCCATATATCATGTGAGCAGAGTACCCTTTTAATCTAGCATCAGGAGCTCAGTATTTGGAAGTGAAAATGTCAGCTCAACCCCATAGGATACCTGGAAAGGTGGTGAGCTTACGTGGGCTTCCTGAGCCATCACCCTTGTCTTCTCTTCAGTAGCAGCACAGGGGTGACCCCTCACAGGCCAGAGATTACAGGGCGGCCAGAGGCGCCCATCTAGGGCACTTGCCTTTAAGAGTCACTTTAATCACAAAAGTAACACCTGCTTTGGAGGCCCAAAGAGGGCATATGAGTCAGGCTGCACTGCAATTTCATTTCCTCTTCTGATATGAGCCAGAAGAGCCCAGGAAAGGAAGAGCAGCGTTGTCTATTATTTGTCTTCTCATTGGTAAAATGCAATCATCACTCCATGCCTCTTGCCAGCCATAGCACAGAGGCAGGAGTCACCTTGCTGGAGAGATGAGAGATGGCTGGTCCTCTCTGCTTTAATCTTATGACAAGAAAATCAAAGATACTGGCTGTCAACCTCAGGGGCAAACTAAAATCACCTGGGGGAAGTTTCAGAAACTCTGGAGGCCTGGTCCCACCCCTAGAGACTTTATTTATCAGGGTAGTGTGCAGCTTGAACATGGGGGATTTTAAGACTCCCAGGAACTCCTGAGTATAGGAAAGTCAAGCCAATTTGCTTACAGAGGTCTGCTTTAGGAACTGAATCCTGGGGAAAAGCTATGCATGCAGGAGATGCAGGCTCTGGTCTGGACAGCAACACTGTCTGTTGCTGGGAAACACGGGCAACGTAACACAGGTAACAATGCCTTGTACCTCAGTAGTTTCATGTAGAACACACACTGCATTCCTTGCAATATTGTCTGATGAAGTGCTAATGAATTAAATATAATTAGGCTGGGCATGGTATCCCATGCCTTTAATCCCAGCACCAGGAAGTTAGAGGTAGGTGGACTTCTCTGAATTCCAGGCCAGCCTGGTCTACATAGCAAGTTCCACACCAGCGAAGGACAAATAGTGAAACATTGTCTCAAAAGAAAAATTAGCAGCTAGAGAGATGGCTCAGTGGTTAAGAGCACCGACTACTCTTGCAGAGGACCCAGGTTTGATTCCCAGAACACATACGGCAGCTAAAAACCATCGGTAACTCTAGTTTCAGGGGATCCGATTCCTTTTTCTGATTACCCATGGCACAACATGGGTGCACTTACACACCTGCAGGTAATACACACATACACAAAAAATAAAAAGAATAAATAAAATATTTATTTTATATTTATATATATTTATTTTATGGGCCGGACGGGGTGGCGCACGCCTTTAATCCCAGCACTTAGGAGGCAGAGGCAGGCGGATCTCTGTGAGGTTGAGGCCAACCTGGTCTACATAGCGAGTTCCAGGCCAACTGGGGCTACAGAGAGAGCCTGTCTCAAAAAGACCAAAAACCCTGGATGTTCTGATTTTTTTTTTAAAAAAGGAAAGCTATTTCACAGTATAAGAGCAGAGAGCTATAACTACAAGCTGTAGAAGAAAAGAGTTTAAAATGAAATATAACAACAAAGTTGAAGGTCTAAAGGAAATGGATGACCACCTACCAAATGTAATCTCCTAAACTGAATATAAAACAATTGGTAAATGACTTCAAAAATTTAAAATAAAGGCTTATTTGTCCAATTAGCCTTTGACAATGGTTCCCATGAAACATTTCCAGATATAGTATACCAAGTTCCTGAAACTGCTGAGAAATAAGAATAGTTGTATAGTAGTCAGTAGTTCAAATCAAGCCAATTAGTATTTATTAAGGGAATTCAAGGTTGGGTCAACATCTCACCATCATTTGTTAAACCAATGTATTAAAGTAGAAAAGCTATTGCTGTAAAAGAGATTTGCGCTAACTCAGTAACCTAGTAAATAAAATACTAAGCAAACATCAACACATGGAAACTACCTAAATATAACACATGCTTTCTTAAAAGAAATCTATAGCGAGGCTCAGAGGATCTTTAAAATCAGGGACAAGATAGACTTGCTATCATTATGATTAAACAACTTTTAAACTTTCTAGTGAACAAGATGTAAAGCTGGTTATATAAATATCTGAAAGGATGAGACCAGCTTCTTTTGAGTCTGCCAATGATATGACTTGATTGGTCTGAAGAAACTCTGCTAAAATCTACCAGAATTATTAAGGGAGTTGGTAAGGAGACTGTCTAAAGACAGAGAAGCCAAAGATTTATTCTCCACACCTGGGCCATCAGGTTGGAAAAGGAAATGGGAATGATATAAATGTATTCCCATTGGAATAGAGATCTGTGATGGTTTGTTTTAATTATCAACTTGACACACCCTAGAATCACCTGGGGAGAGAGTCTTGAAGATAAATTGTCTGGGTTGTGTTGGCCTGTGGGCAAGGATCATCTTGATTACATTAATTGATGTGGGAAGACCCAGCCTAAAAGTGGGTGTCACCATCCCTGGGTTTGGATTGTGAATTGCATGAGTGGAGAAAGTGAGCTGAGCAGCAAGCTTGTATCCATTGATTGCTCTCTGCTGTGGATGGTGGATGTAATGTGACCAGCTGATTCACAGTCCTGCCTCCCTGACTTCTCTGCCATGATGGACTGCAACCTGGAATTTCGAGCCGGAATAAACCCTCTCTCCCCTAAGCTGCTTATTGCCAGGGAATTTTATCATAACAGAAATGAACCTAGAACAGAACCCAAGATCTTTAGGGAGGGAATTATAAAATGTACATAAAGGCACTTAAATAAGGTGATCCGAAAACCGAAAACGAAAGTCTCAGACAACTTATCCAAGGTTGATGCAAAGAGAAAGAGGGCAATGTGGCCATTTGAGGAGGTGACAGATGATTTCCAAGACAGACACATCAATTGTGGTCATTTGATATAATACAATTGGGGATTTGTGGAAATTATACAGAATAGAATGTGTAATAATTAACTTTGAAAAAAAAGAAATAGGAAACTTGCATCAACAGATTGCAAGAATAATGAAGCACTTGCAATGAAAACAGTAAGGCATTTACCCACAAGCAACTGGTAGACCAGCGTACCAGTACTTAGAAACCCCAAATGCACACCAAAATATATGAAAATGCCAATGGTCTTGCTACGCAATCCAGCCTGGCCCCAAACTGGAGATCCTCCAGACTGCAGCTCCTGAGGGCTGGATTTCAGACAAGTGTGGCACTACATCCAGCAGCTTTATTTTAGAAACTGATAGAATAGCTAGTTCTCCACAAAGAGAAGAAAGCTTTCCCTAATACATCACACAAAGAGAAATATCAGAAAAAAAACCTCAAAGCTTAAAATGTAAAAATGAAATGAATAAAAATACCATAAATTGCTGGAGGGAGGGAAGGGAGAGATGGCTCAGTGGTTAAGAACATTGGTGGCTCGTCCAGAGAACCTGGTTCCAGGTCTCCTGGTGCCCTCTTCTGGCCTCTATGGGCACTGCATGCATGTGGTGCACACACATACATTCAGGCAAAAACTCATACACATAAAACAAAAAATAAACCTAGTAAAATATTTCTATAAAACAAGACTGGATATGCCCTTTATAAAATCTCTAATACATAAAGGAACTTCCAAGGTTTTAGAAAAGCATCAAATATTATCAGGCAACTCACACACAGGGATGTAAATAGTTTATGAACATATGAAAAAATTCAATAGTATTATTAATAAAAACATGAACATTAAAACCCTTTATATATATATATATGTTCATCCAATAGGCTGAGGAAAATTAAAAGGCTCTGGGTGGATTATCTTGTGCTGATCAAGGTATGGGGACAGAGAGGCTCAAATGTTGTGGAAGTGATTCTAAAGCAGCCCACTTCCAGGAACGCTGATCTGCATAAGCAGGTGTAACCTAGCTGGATAACAAGGGGCAAAACCCAGAACTCAACTGACTCAAAAGAGAAGGGCTGGGCCAACTGTGCTGCCTGAGGTACATATTTTAAAGAATAAGTTAAGGCTATTGTTGGCTGATGTAGAGGGAGTGTCACATTTAAAAAGCCAACTTGAAGATAATGTAAATGATATAATTTTTTTCTTGTTAGCTTGTTTCTAGGCAGGGTCTCAGCTATCCCAGGCTGGCCTTGCACTCACTGTGTAGCTAAGGGTGACCTTGAACCCCTCATCTTCCTGCCTCCCCTTCCCAGTTGCTGGCTCACATGCAAAAGCTATCATGCCCAGCCTCCAGCCTTGGTTCATGAAGGCTCATGTAGCTCTGAATACGGGGAGATGTGAAGGATCTCCTTCCCAAGTTAGTAAAGGGAGGCAGATCTGTAAATTTTATTGCATCTCTCTGCGTTTTCACTTGTTATAAACATATACTGCTTGTACAATTAAAACTTTTGCTAATTTAAGGAAAAATTTCAAAAGGAAATTAAAAAAACATGTCCTGTTTAACTAGCTTTGGAAAAATAGCAAAGAAAACATCAAGAAAGTCAGATTAGAAGGCCAGATTTCAGACCCTACCCACAGGCTGTGCTACTCACTGGTTTTCCAAGGCAGCTGCTAGGCTGGGTGCTGGTATCGATGAAATACTTCCTAAGCAGATGCTTGCTGGGGTCAGGGCTGTCCAGTAGGATGTAGGAACAGAAAAAGGCCCCGTGCCGTAGCAGGAATATGGCAATGTCTTCATTCCCTAATGGGACAAAACACAGAGAGCTCAGGGCATCTAGACGTCCAAATGGCCAACTCCACTCAGAGTTCAAAAATGTAAAAACTTTGGTGCTTAGAGAGCAAGCTCTTAGCTACTTCCCATGATGGGCCAAGTTCCTGGCAGCAGGAGCTCTACAGGGACTCTGCCCTTTTCAGGGCCCCACATGAGGCCCCATTTGCCATATCTGGTCCCTGCTATGAAGTGAAGGCACAAGAAGGGAGGCACAGTTATTCTGAGAAAGAAAATAACAGGGTTGGAGAGATGGTTCAGTTGGTAAAGTGCCTGCCATGCGAGTACGAGGATCTGAGCTTCACCCCCAGAACCCACATAGAAAGGGAATGTGATGGGATAAGCTTGTAATCCCAGCACTGGCGAGGTAGAGACAGATTGAGTGTGATGACCAGCCAGTCTAGATGAATAGGGAAATGCCAGGTAAAAGTGCAACCCAGGGCCGGAGAGATGGCTCAGCAGTTAAGTGCATTGGCTGCTCTTTCAGAAGACTTACGTTCAGTTCCCAGCACCCACATGGCAACTAACAACTGTCTGTAACACTAGTTCCAAGGGATTGGACACCCTCTTCTGGCCTCTGTGGGCATTGTACATATGTGGTGCACTTACAAGCAGGCAAAACACTCATACACATAAAAATAAATAAAAATTAAAAGTGAGACCCTGTCTCTCTGTCCTAAGTAATGACACCTGATGTTGACCTCTGGTCTCTGCATACTAATGTGTACTCACAGCTGCACACATGTGCATCCACACACAGGAACACATGAGAGAGAGAGAGAGAGAGAGAGAGAGAGAGAGAGAGAGAGAAAGAGAGAGAGAGAGAGAAACAGAGAGAGAGAAACAGAGAGAGAGAAACAGAACAGAGTCGCAGAAGTTGCTCCACAGAGGCCACTGGAGAATCAGAGGTGAAGCCAGAGTCCCACATTGGAAAGAAGGCCAGTGTGCACGTGGTTGAGCTGTGGAGACGCACCTGATTTGATGGCAGCATAGAGGGGCAAGCACACGATGGCGGGGAATTCATTCTTCCTGACAGCGTAGCTCTCTGGGTCAGCCCCATGTGTCAGGACCAGCAGCTTTACAACCTCCAGGTGCCCTCGCTGGCAAGCCAGGGCCAGCATCCAGTTCAGCAGTCTCTGGGTGCTGCAGGAACCTGGCAGGTGATGGGACAAAGGGAAAGTGCCACTGAAGGTGCTGGTTGCTCTCACACTCAGCTTCCCTGTGGCCATTCATAAAATCCGGCCTTCCTGTTTACCTCTGACTTGCATCTACATTATTATAAACTCACTGGCTTATCAAAGAAAGCCAAGAAAGGCCAGACTCCCAAAGGAAGGTACGGTGTGATACTGACAGATTAAAAAATTCCCGTGTGGAGACTGAGACCAGGAAGACCCTCCCAACTACTGCAGTAGTCTTTCTGGACCCCTCTTTCATTATGGGGTGCCTTCACATAGTCCGTTACTTCCAAATTACCTGTAACACACATATAAATTACTTCCATAAATGACACTTTAAAAGAAATCTTTGACAAAGGAAATAGATCTAACTTTGCAGCCTCAAAAGTCTACAGTGACTCCGTGAAGGAACCACCTACTTAATTCCAGGGCAAAGTGACATTGAGCTCACTGAAGATACAGGGACAGTGTGGGCTGAAACGATACAGTATCTTCAAGTTCAAAACAGTTAGTTATCTTCTGGATGTAGCTGCCATGGGAAAATGACTTCTATCATGTCCCCACTGCATCATGCCATTGCCTCAGTTCCAGAGGCGCAAAGTCCTTCAAGACCAAACTATCACCAGGTGTCAGAGGGTGACCTCCTCTGGGATAGGTCACTGACTAGGAATAGGGACAAAGTCAGGATGAGAGATAAGAATTCCGTGAAAAGGATCTGGCATAGGACCTGGAAACTGGAGCCTGTGCTTGGCAAATGCCCTTCTTCCTCTGTGGCCAACCAGGATTGGTGATTCTAAGGTATATCCAAAAAGGTGAATGATCTGTAATTCATTCACAGCAAGGGCATCGTGGGAAAAGAAATACAGAAACTGTAGTGCTGACTTCTGTGGAGTTGCATTCCTTTTAGGTGGCAGAACCATGGTTCTAAGGTGAGGAGCAGAGAACAGAGAGGTTGGAAACTTGCTGAAGGTCCACAGAGGGTCAGTGCCAAAGTGAAGACTTACCTCCTGGTTGGTCTAAAACCAGAGTGCTCTTCACCCCCGACAAAGAGACCATGACAATGTGTTTTCTGTGACCTAAATGCAAGGCTCCTAGAGCACCCCATCTGGGTCTCCATTCTTTCTTCTTAGATTGTTGTTTTGTCCATCTGTGCTCTTCCTATTGAGGCCCAGGACATTGTTCTCCATCCCTTCCATTCTCAGCTACTACTGGAGATAAATTGAAGGTCAGGAGCCTCAAAATCAGCAGAAAACTGCTCTGAGGTCCAGCCTAGCTTCCTGCTTGCAAAAGCAGACGACTTGAGCCCTTCCATTGTTTGCTAAGCAAACTTCTTATTCACCCCAGAAAGCCCCACTCCCTCTGAGGACCTGTCCTGCACCTAGGCAAGGCAGTGCCTTGTGCTCCCACACCTCTGTGTCTTATCACAGTTACAGTGCACCGAGTTGTTCCAGTACTTTTCCCTTATTGGTGAGCCAACGCCCCATTGAATGTTACAGAGGGCCACGACACCTTGAGTTCATTGGAGGCAAAATTACAAATTAGTATGCTATGTCCATTAAGTGAAATATTATTTAGTCATAAAAAGAATGTTCTACTGAGTCATAGAAAGTCATGGAAAAACTTTCAATGCATGTTGCTAGGTGAGAGAAACCAACCTGAAATGGCTACATAAGGGTGCAATTCCAACTAGAGTCTAGAAAAGGCAAAACCAGAAAGGCAATAGCAATGCTTGTTAATGGTTAGATGAAGAATGGGCTCTTATGGCAGTGACAATATCAAACAATTCTGTGTGATACAGTAATGGTGGGTGCACATCATTAAGCATTTGTAAAAACGCATAGATGCATGCTATACAGTGTGAGGACCTGAGGTCCCCCAAACCCAAATAAGCCAGATGCAGTAGTGTGTGACTTATGGCCAGATGGGAGGCAGAGACAGGAGAATCCATATAAGTCTGTGGGCCACCTTGTCTGGCTTACATTGCAGTGAATGAGAGACTGTCTACAATAGGTATAAGGTGAGAACCCGAGTACTCCATAGGTTATCTTCTGACCTCCACATGTGCACTGTGTCATGTGTGTACCTGCATTCATATACATACACACATCACATACATATCACAGACACAAAGATAAAAAACCCATAGAACAAACAATACCAAGAACAAACCCCAGTGTGAATTACGGACTTTGGTAATAATATATTAAAGTTAGTCTGTTAATTACAACAAACATATCAAACTAACATAAAATCAAAGAATGGGGAAACTGGAGGGGGCATATGAGAACCTGCACTTTCCTACCAAGTTTTCTGTACTTTCCTATCAATTTTCTGTAATTCTAAAAATGGCTCTAAAATCAATTGAAAATCAAGCTACAGTGACCCATATTCTTCAGTTTTTTACATTTACTTATTTGGTGTGTGTGTGTGTGTGTGTGTGTGTGTGTGTGTGTGTAGGTGTACATGCCACAGCGTTCATGAGGAAGTCGGAAGACAATTTTCAGGAGTCTTTCTTTTCACCATGTCAGTTCCAGGGATTGAACCTGGGTCCTCGGTCTTGGTGCCAAGGACCTTCACTTGCCAAGCCACCTTGCAACCCCACTTAGGTTCTTTATCAAGTGTACACGTGAAGATTTTCCTCATGAGCTAACGGGAGCAGGATGCACAGCTGCTGTGACACTGGCAGGCAGTTCTCACTTTATGGCATGCCCACTGGATGCCCTAGGCTTCCTGATTCCATTGTGGGTGAAGGCATGAAGAAATGAGAACATTTGGTTGAAGCCCAAAATGAAGGTCCTCTGAAAGGTAGTGGGAAGCTTTTGTGCTGTGATTTACCTGATAAGGACTCTAGCAATTCCTGTACAACTTCAGTGTGTCCAAAATGTGCTGCCACCACAGCTGGGTTGTCATCCGTGGGCTCTGTTGGCAGCTCTACATGTTTCTCTGTGAGTAGGTATCGAACGATCTCCAGATCCCCATGGGCTGCTGAGATGCTCAGTAGCTGACCCTGGTCAAAACAGGACAGGGCTTCAGTGAGGCCATCTTTGTTCATAAGTTTAAAAATTTTTTTATTTTTATGTGTATGAATGTTTTGCCTACATATGTGTAAATATACCCATGTGTGCAATGCCCAAGGAGACCAGAAGAGGGCACCAAACTCCCCAGAACTGGAAGTAATCTGACCACTTATTCAAAGTGCTGAGAATAAGTGATTGCTGAGTGCTCAGCCTTAAACAGGACAGCTATAGCACCCCTCCCCCAAGGCTCAGGGAACATCATGGAAGGGGGGTAGAAAGAATGCAGGAGCCAGAGGATGGGGAGGAAGCTGTGAAACACTTCTGGCCATTACATGGCCATGCACTCTTGAATCAATAGCAGCTGTGGATATCTTCACAAGACCTGCACAAGATAGGAATCATCAACATTCCATCATGTGTGTATGTGTGTGTGGGGGGGGTGCTTGTGAGGCCCCAGCCCTCCCCTAGGAGCTTTTGGCAGTTAGTGGTTGCCTGGGGGAGGAAGAGTCTCTTTCTTCGGTGGTGAAATCACTAGTAAGGTGCCCATACTCCAGTAAATACCCTCCCCCCAGTGCTCATGCAAGCAACCCTAATTGAACCCAGTGGGTCACAAAGAAAAAGAGACATGGCAATGGGAGGGCATATTGGGGCAGAAGAAGGAGAAATTCAACAGAGTGTGAGGGGGATGATGACTAAATAGGGGGCTAAAGTGCCCCAAACATATACACATGTATGAAGTAATGAATAATAATTTTTTTGGTCTGTTTTTTTAGACAGGTTCTCCCTGTAGCCCCAGTTGACCTGGAACTCACTATGTAGACCAGGCTGGCCTTGATCTCACAGAGATCCTCCTGCCTCTGCCTCCCAAGTGCTGGGATTAAAGGCGTGTGCCACCATAACCAGAATAATAAATTTAAAAAAATCTGCTCTTCTTTATGTGCATTCTATTTATTTATTTGTCTTTTTGAGACAGGGTGTCCCTGTAGCCCCAGCTGTCCTGGAACTCACTATGTAGACCAGGCTGGCCTCAAACTCACAAAGATCCACCTGCCTCTGCCTCCCAAGTGCTGGGATTAAAGGCGTGCGCCACCATGCCCGGCTATTTTCATTTTTTATGTATGCTCTGCCTGCATGTATATAAATGCACCACATGTGTACACTGCCTGCAGAGGCCAGAAGAGGGCATCAGATTCCCTAGAACTGGAGTGGAGTTACAAGTGGTTGTGAGCCATCATGTAGGTGCTGGGAACTGAACCCAGGTCCTCTGCAGGAGCAGCCAATGCTCTGAACTGCTGAGCCATCTCTCCAGCCCTGGGAAGCCCATTTTTACAGGACAACACTACTTTTAATCATCTGCCTCGTGAAGATGGAGGCCTTGTGAGAGCTATACCCACCAGCCCAGAGACAGAGAAATTGCCATCTGACAATTCTCAAAGCTTAGAAAGAGGGAAAGCAGCCAAGCCCTGTGAGAACCATTTTGCAAGTTACTGAAAAATGGAATATGGGCTAGGTGTGGTGGTGCACTCCTTTAACCCCAGAACTCGGGAGGCAGAGGCAGGCGGATCTCTGTGAGTTCAAGGCCAGCCTGGTCTACATAGTGAGTTCCAGGACAGCTAGGGCTACAGAAAGACCCTGTCTCAAAAAGACAAAAAAATAAAAAATAAAAAAAGAGGAATATGACTAATGACAGGACTCCACAGACCAGAATCCAGGGACAAAGAAGCTCTTGGAAGCTGTGGCAGGATTCTTGACTTGGTAATCCAAAGGAAGACTGTGATGGGGTGGATACTGGACCTCTGCCCGAGTTCCACCTTCAGCCCCTCTGATGTGTAAAAGTTGTATGTAGTAAGTAGTATATTAACACATGACTCACAGAGGCTTCAGGATTTCCCCAAGTTCATCCATAAATTGCTGTCATAGACTAATTCAAACGGGCCCCGATTTTCATGAGCCCGAGTCCACACAAAGGATGCTCAGACAGATGTTGGATTGGCATGTGAATATGCAAGTATGCTACTGAGATGTTAGGCCTTCCTGGAATTCGGCTGCTTCCCATGAACTTGAGCATCAGAATCTTCAAGGAGGCAAGTGGGGAACCCAGGTAGGAATGAGGCAGCCAGTGAGTGCTACTATGAACATTCAGGGAAGACCTACACGTGCAAGAGGCAGGGTTGAGCAGATGGAAGGGGTGATTTCTGAGCATGGACCTATAGTTTAGTTGAAGGTGGGGAATGCATAAAAGAACCAGCCACAAGCAAATACTGCACACAGAACAATTTAGAAATCAAACATTGTTGGAAATCATGTTAGAGCAAGATGGGCAGGAGGGAATGTGTGGGTGGAACTCCGGGGAAAATAACGAATACTTACTAAGATCTGGCCATGGGTGACACTGCACTGAGTACTTTATTTACATGGTCACATCCAGTCCTTGTGACAGCCATGCATGGAATGTGCCTGTCCTTCCATGTCAGGGATGTGAGCATGCGACCCTCAGTAAGGGACTTTATGACCAGCAGAGCTTTCCTTGATGTGAACTGTAGTCTATGCAGCTCTGAAGCCTATGTTCTCCTCATCCCAGCCAAGATTTCCCAGAAAGGGTGGAACTTGGAGGAATGTTTGTGTTTTGTGGTATGAATGAATTGGCAATGGGCTATCTGACAGAGTTGAGTCGCTTTCTAGGTGACTGGACTTTCTTGGTTCAATTCAGCCAGAAAAACAAAAAAATGGCCCACCACTACTCTGCCCAGGGAGGGGCCCAGGAGCCCATTCCTGGAAAGCACATGTACTGTGGAGAAAAGCCACAGTGATTGATCAACCAACTAACACAACTAGGAGCTGTCTAGACTCCAGTCCATCACAGGCTTAAAAGCTTCATCATCACAAGGTGATGGGTGACGTCATGCTCAGCCTTGGCCAAGAGGGAGTCAGAGGGGAGGAAGGGCAGGCACTGTCTCTCTGACCAGAGCCAACCTGGAGGCTCTGAAGTGTTTATTTAAATTCCATATAAAATAAAAGGTGGGCCCTTCTTCTATTCCCTTCCTTCCCTCTTCAGAGGAAAGCTCCCACAGGGCTTTCTAGAGCATGTATCCATACATGCCTACAGAGAATCCACATGAAACCAAATGCTCTTTTCATTCAATTCTTGTGTGTGTGTACATATATGTATGCAGATGCACTTGCCTGTGCATGCACATGTGGAGGCCAGAGATTGACTTGGGATGTCTTCCTCTATCACTTTTTCATCTTTTCTTAAATATCCTTTTTAAGATTTTATTTTTTATTGTATGTGTATGAATGTTTTGCCTGCATATATATAAGTGCACCTTTATGTCATGCAATGCTTGTAGAGGTCAAAAGAGGGTGTCAGATCTTCTGGAACCAGAGCTATAGACAGTTATTAGCTGCCATGTGGATGCTGGGAACTGAACCTGGGTCCTCTGAAAGAGCAGCCATTGCTCTTAATTGCTGAGCCAGCCCTCCAGGCTCTTTTATCTTTTGAGACAAGAACTCTCACTGAACCTAGAACTCATCATTTCTGCTAGGCTAGCTAGTCAGTGAGTCCCTTGAGATCCACCTGTCTCCATTCCCTCCCCCAGTGCTGGGCTTACAGGTGCACACCCCACACCTAGCTTTTTACATGGCTGTTAGAGATCTAAATTCAATTGTTCATGTTTGCACAGCAAGCACGTCACTAACTGAGCTATCTCTCCAAGTTCTCAGCTAATTTTTTATGACTTTTTATCAGTATAATATATACCTACAAAAAAAATCAGTTTCATGAGCTGGAACCTGATCGTGTAACCCAGGACCCAGGCCGAGGAACTGAACTTTGCTCAGAAGTGCCTTGTTACGGTTTGGATATAAAATGTCCACAAAAGTTGGGCATGGGGGCACACATCTTTAATCCCAGCACTTGGGAGGCAGAGGTAGGGGGATCTCTGTGAGATAAGTTCAACCTTTATGAGTTCCAAGCCAGCTGGGGCTATGGGGAGATCCTATCTTTTTTCAAAAAAAATAAAAGGCTGGAGAGATGGATCTGGTTGTTCTTGAAGACCCAGGTTCATATCCCAGCACCCACATAGCAGCTAACAACCACCCCTAACTCCAGTTCCCTGGGATCTGACACCCTTTTCTGACCTCTGACGACATTGCATGACACAGGCGCACTTATATTACATGCAGGCAATAGACTCATAGACATTAAATTAATTAATTAATTAATTGATTGATATCAATTAAACAAAGTTTTTTTTAATGCCCACAAAGGCTCCCGTGTTGAAGGAAGTCTTGGTCCCCAGCTGGTGGTGCTGCTCAGAGGTGAGTGGATTGTGTAGCTCAGACTTCATCAGTGTGTGAATACACTGAGCACGTCATAGCTGAATAGACCAGTAGGCGGCTGTACATAGTTGGAGGGAAGGTTACTGGAGGACTTCCCTTGGTGGTATATCTTGTACTTGCTCCACTGTTTTCCTCCTCCCTGCTCCTCCTCCTCTTCCTCCTCCCTGTTTCTCTTCCTCCTCCCTCTCCCCCTGCTCCTCTGCTAGGTCTCTCCTCCTCCCCCCCACCTCCTCGTCCTCCTCCTTCCCTCCTCTTTTTCCTCCTCTCCTCTTCTCATCCTCTTCCCCCTCTTCTCATTCCTCCTCTTCCTTTCTCCTCCTCCTCTTCCTTCCCCTCTCTTTCTTCTCTCTCTTCCTACCTGCCCTAGTTGAACAGATTCACTTCATCATACTCTCTACCATGATGCTCTCTGCCTCATTACATGCCTAAAAGCAATGGCGGCAGCTGGTAATGACCTGTGAAAATGTGAGCCAAAACAAACCTTTCCCTCTTAAGCTGTTTTTCTTGGGTATTCTGTCACAGCAACCAAAAGCTGACATACCCCAATTGTGCCCCTTTCTTGTCACTGTCCTGCCAGTTCCCCCCAACTGACACATCTTCATAACTGTAGTATGGTAGGTATGAAACCCATAATGTGATATTACGACCA